GCTTGCTCCCCTTTGCTTCCTTGCGGTTGCGCTTGCTTTGCTGTTTCTCGGTCTGGCCCTCTGCGGTGTTTTTGCCCTTGTCGCCCTCCCCCTTCTTGTCCTCTTTCTCTGGCTTGCCCTTTTTCCCCCCTTCGGCCTGCCTTTTCTGCCGCGCGCTCTGTCCCTTCCCCTCTTTTTGTGTTTTCTCCTTGGCCTTGTCTTCTTCCTTCGCCGTTCTCCCCTGCTGCGCCCCTCTCCCCCCTTTTGCTCGCCTCGCTCCCCTCCCGCCGGTTTCTTCCTTGGTTTGGCCGCCTGCCCCCCCTCCCCCTCTTCCTGTCGCTCCCTTTGCCCCTTTGCCTTTTCTTCCTTTCCTGCTTCCGTCCCTCCGGCCCCTGTTGCTGCGTCCCCTTCCGTCCTTCCCCGTTTGTGTTCCCCCTCTTGTCCCTCCTGTCCCCCCCCTCTCCTCTTCCCCCTTCCCTCCCTTCTTCTGCGCGGCTCCCTCCGCGCCCCTTGGCGCCGTCGGCCCCGCCTCTCGTTCCCCCCCCTTTTGCCCCCCCTCGCTGTGCGCTTCTGGCCTTCTCTGCGCTTCCGGCCCGTTGCCGCCCTTGTGTCTGTCCTCTTCCGTGCTCGCCCCTTCTGCTCCTCCCCCTCTCGCTTCCTCGCGTCCTTTTCCCCGCCTGCCTGTCGCTCCCCTTCGCTCCCTCTTCTTCCCGGTTCCCCCGTCGTTGTCGGTGCCGCCCTCCCCCCGTCCCCCGTCTTTTCCCGCTTGCCGCCTTTTCTCGCCGTGTCCTTGTTGGTCGCCCCTCGTCTGCCCCCCTCCGGCTTGCGCCCCCCCCCCTTCGTCCCTTGTTGCGCGCGGGCCCCCTCGGCTCCCTTTGCTTTCTTCCCGCTTGGGCCCTGCTGCTCCGCTCGCTTGCTCGCGGCGCGCTCCTTTGCGCGCGCGTTTTCTGCTCTTCTGCCGGTCTTGCCCGCGTTTTGCGCTCTCCGTGCGGGGTTTCTCTGCGGCGGCTGCCTCGCCGGGGTTTTTTCGCCTTTCCGCGCGCGCGCTGCGCCTTCTCCCTTGTCCCCTTTGGTTGCGGTGTGTCGCTTGGGTGCGTTTCGGGTCGCTGCGTCCTCTGCTCGCGTGTTCCGCGGCCCGCGCCCCTGTCCTCCTGCGCCGCCCCGCGCCTTTCCTGCTCCCCCTCTTTCGCCCTCCCCCCTGCCCGTCCGGTGTCGCGGGTGGCGCTTTGCCGCGCCCCTTCGGCCGGCTTTGGGTTCTGCTCTCCTTGCGCTTTGTTTGTGGGGCTCGCTTCCGCGCGTCGCTTTCTGCCCGGCGCGCTGGGGGTGTCGCTTGCGCGCGGGGTCCCTCTGTTTGGCCCGCTTTGCTTTCGGCGCGGCTTCTGGGGGGCGGTTTCGGTTGGGTGGCGGTTTCGCCGGGTCGGCGTTTCTGGGTGGCGGTTTGCTGCCCCTTCCCCTCTGCTTTTCCTCCTTTCTCTCCTGCTTTCCTTCTCCCCTCGTGTCCCCCCCCCTCCTCCCCTCCCCCTCTCGTTCGTCCCCCCCTCCCCCCCCATTCCTCCCCCCCTCCCCCTTCTCTTCCCCTCCTCCCCGGTCCTTTCCCCCTTCCCCCCTTTTGGCCCTCCCCCCTTCCCCCCTCTTCCCCTTCCTCCTTCGCCCCTCTCTCTCCTTCGCCCCCCCTCCGCTTCCCCCCTCTTTCGCCCCTCCCCCCCCTCTTCCTTCTCGCTTTCTCCCCCTTTTCTCCCCTTCTCTCCCCTCTCCTGCCTCTCTCCCCCCCCCTCTCCTTCCCCTTCCTCCCTTTTGCCCTCCCCCTCTCTTCTTCCCCCCCCCCGGTCCCTCCTTTTTCGCGCCCCTTGTTCCTCCCCCCCGTTCGTTCCTTTCCCGCCCCCTGCCCCTCTCCCCCCTGCTTCCCCCCTTCCCCCTGCCCTTTTCCCCCCTTCTCCCTCCTCCCGCCTTGCCCTTTTCTCCCTTCCTTTGCCTGGCCTCTGCTCTCCCGTTCCCTCCCCCCTGCCCCTCCCCCCTCCCTTCCTCCCCCCTCTTGCCCTTTTCTCCCCTCCCCTTTCGCCTCCCCCCTGCCTCTCCCCTCCCCCCTTTCTTCCCTCCCCCCTTTCTTTTGCGCCCCCGTCTCCTTTCCCTCGCGCGCTTCCGTCCCGTGCTCCTTCGCTCCTTTCGCTCCTTCCCCCCTCGTGCCTTCCGGTCGCCCCTCTCGTTTCGCCTCCCGGCTTTCGTGCGCCTCTCCGCCCCTTGGTTTTCCGTCGGGCTCTCTTCGCTCTTTCCGCTTTTCTTTTCCCCGTGCTCCCTTCTGCCGTGCTGTCGCCTGTCGCTCTGTTTGGTTCTTGCGTGCCGCCCCGGCTTGTGCGTGCTCGCGCTTGCCCTCGTCTTCTCCCCCTCCCTCCTCCCGTCCTCCCCCTTCCCTCCGTCCTCCTTCCCTTGTTGCTTCCTCCCCCCCTTTGCGCCCCCCCCTTCCTGCCGCCCTCTCTTCGGCCTCGGCGGTCCTCGTTGCGCTGGCCTTTTGCTTTTTGCTGCCCCCCGCCCCCCGCCTTCCCCCCCGCCTGGCCTGTCCCGGCCGTGCTTTTTCTGTCTCTTTTGCCCCCTGCCCCCTCCGCCTCTGCCCCCCCGTTCGCGTCCCTCTGTCCCTTTTGGCTCCCCTCCTCCCCCTTGCTTGTGCCTTTTCCGCTCTCGTCTGCTCTTCTTTGTTGCGGTGCGGTGGCTTTCTTTTGGCTTTGCTTGGCCTCTGCCCCCCCTCCCCCCGCCTCCGCCCTGTCCGGCCTGCTTGCCGTCCGCTCTCGCCGCGCCCCCCTCCTTCCTCTCTCTTTTGTTTGCTCGCCCTCCTTTCCCTCTTCCTCTTTGTCTCGCCTTCTTGCTGTGCTCCTTGGCCTTTTGCTCGCTGCTTTTCCCTCCCGGCCCCCCTTCTTTCTCCCGTCGCGGGTGTCCTTTGCTTGCTTGCTGCCTCTTCCTTCTTTCCGTTGTTTGCCTTGTCCGCCCCCGCCGTCCTTCCCTTCCCCCCTCCTGCTCCTTTCGCCTTTCTTCTGCCTCCGCTTCGCCCCTTTCTCCCCCCCCGCCTTGTTCGTGCTTCCCCCTCCTCTCCTCCCCTCTCTTTGCCCTCCTCCCTCTGCTCCCCCTCTTGCCTTCTCCCTCGCGTTTTGTCCCCCGGCCTTTGGTGCCTCCCCCGCTTCTCCGCCCCTTGCCCCCGTCTCCTCCCCCGCTCTCGGTGCTTGTTTCCCCCCCTCCCCTGCCTTTTTCCGTTTGTCGCCTTTCTCCCCTTCGCCTTTTCCCTCCCCCCTGGGGGTTGTTCGCCCTCCCCTTCTTCTTCGCGTCGCCCCTTCCCGCCTGCGCTTTTCCCGTCCCTTTGCTCCCCGGTGCCTCTTTGTGTGCGGCGTCGGCTCGGCCCCTTCTGCTTGCTTCCCGTCGGCTCCCGGTGCCCCCGTTTCCTCCCCCTCTCTTCCTTCTTCTTGCGCGTCTCCTTTTGCCCCGCGCCTTGCTTTCTTCCTCCCCCTCCCGCCTTCTTCGTTTGCTTTGTTCCGGCCGCCCCCTTTGGTTCCTCCCCCTTGTGGTTCGCCGGTCTTGGCCCCGTTCCCCCCCTCCTTTCTTTTGCCTTGCTCGCGCTCCTCTTGCCTCGCCTTTCTCCCCTCCGGCTCCTTGCGCGCTTCGTCCCCTTCTTTTGGTTCCCTCTGCGCTCGCTCCCCGTGCCCCTGCTTCCCTGGTCGCTGCTCTTGTTTTCCCGCCTTCCTGCTCTTCCCCTCCTTCCTTCTGGCGGGTGCTTTTTGGCGCCCTCTTCCTCTGGTTCCCCTGGGTGCCTGGTCCTGGGTGGCTCCCTTTGTTGTGCCCTGGCCGTGTTGGTTCGCCTTTCCTCCTTTCCTTCCTTGTCTGCCCTTGCTTCCCCCCTTCCCTGCCCCTTGCTCCCCCTTGGCTCCCCCCGTCCTGCCTCTCCCTTCTCCCCTGCGGCCTCCCTCCCCCCTTCTTCTTCCCGCCTTTCCCCCTTCTTCTGGCTGCGGGCTGGGCTTTTCTCGCGCCTTCCTTTCCCCCTCCTCCCTTCCCTGCCCCCCTCCTCTTCCCCCGTCTCCTTCGTCTCCCCCCCTCCCTCTGCCCCTTGTTCCCCTTTGTGCCCTTTCTTCGTCCCGTGCCTCCTTTTTGCTCTGTGCTTTTTCCTCCCCTCCCCCGTGTCTGGCTTCTTCCCCCCCCTTGCTCTTTTCTTCCCCCTCTGCCTGCCTTGCTGGTCGCTGCCTCTCCTCGCCCCTTCCTTCCTCTGCCCGCTCCTCCCCCGCTTTTCGCTGCCCTTTCTCCTTCCTCTGCTCCCCCTTTGCCTCCCCCCCTCTGCCCCTCCCCCTCTTTGGTTTTCTCCCTTTCTCTCGCTCCTCTGGCGTCTTCTTGTCCTGCTTCTGGCTCCTGCTTCGCTTTTGCGTGTCCCCGCCGTGTTGCTCGCTTCCGCCCCCTCTCGTTTCGGGCGCCCGGCCGCCCTCCTCCTCCCTCGTGCGGCTTCTTTGCGCGTCCGGTTTCTTCTTTCGGCCCCCCCGTTTTGTTGCGGTGTTCTTGCGGCCGCTCCTTGCTGCGCCACTTCCTGTGCCTTGCCCCCGCTTGTCTCCCTCCCTTCCCGCCCTCGGTTCCGCGCTCCGTTCGTCTTTTTGCTCTTTGCCCTTCTTTCTCCTTTTGTCGTTGCTTCCCCCGCTTCGGTCGCCCTTGCTCCCCTTCCTTTTTCTTCTTGCGCCCCCCGGTCCCGTGTCCCTGGCCCCTCCTCCCCCCCCCGCGCGTCTCTTTCTTCCCCCTTCCCCTTCTTGGCTCCCCCGGTCCCCCTCCGTCCTCTGTCGTCCGCTTCGCGGTCTTGCCGTTGCCTCGTGTGTCTTTGCTTTGCCTGCTGCTTTGCTTTGCTTTCCGCGTTGGCCTGCCTCCCCCCCTTGGTCCTTCTTGCCGCTCCTCTCTGGCCCGCCTTCTCCTCGCTTCTTCTTTGCCCGCTTGCTTGCTCGTCTTGCCGTTTCCGTGGTTGCGCTTTCTGTGCCCTTCCCCTTCGCTTCCTTCGCCTTTCTGGCCCTTCCGCCCCCTGCCTCTTTGCTTGTGCTCCCCTCCCCCCCTCCCTGTTCTTTCGCCGTTTTCCCGCTCCCCCCTCTCCTTTGTGCGCTCCTTTTTGCTTCGGCCCTTCTCTTTCGCCCCTTCTCCCCGCTCGCCTTTCTCCCCCCCTTGCCTCGTGCTCCCCCCCTTCCTTTTCCTCCTTCCCCGCCGCCCCCTCTTCCCTCTTCCTCCCTTTTTCTTGCTCGTGCCCCTCCTTTTGTCCTTCCCTCCTTTTGCTTTCCTCCGCCTCTCCCTTTTGGTCCCTCGCTTTCTTTGCCCTTCCCTCGCTCTGCTTTCTTTCTCGTCCTGTGGCGTGCGCCCCCCTCTCGCTGTCCCCCCCTCCTGCCCCCCGCTTCCTTCCCTTTCGGTCCCCCTCCTTGCTTGGGTCCTTTCCTGTTCGTGCTTTTTGGTCCCCCCCCCCCCTTGCTCTTCTTGCCTTCACGCTGCGGCGCTTTGTCCCCCTTCGCGCCCCGCTCCTCCTCCCTCCCTTTCGCCCACCTTTTTGGCGCCGGGTTTTGCCCTTCTTTTTCTCTTTTGGCCCCTGGGCCGCGCCTGGTTGCTTTGGTCTCTCCCCGCCTTCCCTCTCTTGCACCCCCCCTCCTTTTGCGTGGGCTCCCTCTCCCCCCTTTCTTTCTCGCCCCGCTTCCCTCTTTTCTCTGCCCTCTTTTTGCCCTTGCCTCTTTGGCCTCTCTTTGCTTGCTCGCCTTTTTGTTGCTTTGCCGTCGTCTCGCCTTGTTTCGGCCTTTCCCCCTTCCCCTTTGCCTTTTGTTTGCTCGCCCCGTCCTTGTCTCCTTCGTGCTCTTCTGCCTTTTCCCCCTTTTCCCCCTTGCCCTTTCTTCTTTCCCGTCGTCGTCGCCTTCGTCCGCTTTTGCGGGGTTTGCGCCCCTGTGGCGTCCTCCCCCTTCCGGTTCTCTCTCCTGCTGGCTTTTGCCTGCTCCCCCTTTTCTCTCTTCTTTTCGCCGCCTTCGTGCCCGTCGCCCTCGTCGCTCTCCGCTTCTGTTCTCTCCCTCTCTTGCTTTCCCCTCTTCTTGCCGCTGCCTCTTTTCCTTCTTCCCTTTCCTCCCTTCCCGTCCGCCTCTTGCCCTTTTTTCTTCCTTTCTTCTTTTTCCCGCCTTCGCCTCTTCTTGCGCTCCTTGCGTTGCGGCTGCGTGCGCCTCCTCTCTTGCCCTTCTCGCCTTCGCTTGTCCCTCGCTTCCCGCGCCCCGCGCCTTCCCCGCCTTGCCCGCCTTCGCTGTTCCCTCTTCTTCCTCTGCGTCCCGCGCCCTCCCCCCTCTTCCCTTGTCCTCCCCTCCCTTGCCTTGCCTCTTCGCGCCGTCTCCTCCTCCGCCCCTGCCCTTTCCTCGCTTGCTGCTGCTCCTCCGCCTCCTCCTTTTCGTTTGGTTCGTTGCTCCCGCGCGCTTTTCTTTTTGTCGCGCTTGCCCCTTTTGCTTTCGGCTTTGTTCGGCGTCGCTTCCCCCTTTTTGCCTTGCTCCTTGCTCCCGCTCGGCTCCGGCCCCTTTCTTTCCCCTGTCCGGGTTTGCGGCCCTTGTCGCCCCCTCCTTCTTTTCTTCGCCTTTTTCTTCTTGTGTTCTGCGCGCGCTGCCTTTTCCCCGCGCCGCCTTTTTGTTGTCTCCTTTTCGCCTCCCCCTTCTCCCCTTTTTGCCCCCCGCGCCCCTGTTCGTCCGTCCTCCCTCCCCCTTCTTTTCTCCTGCCCTGGCGGTTGCCGGTTGTTCGGCCCTTCGCGCCGCCTTTCGCGCTTCCTGCCCCTCCTCCTCTTTGGCCTTCCTTTCGCCCTCCTCTGCTTTTCGCTCCCTCCTCCTTTGTCTGTTGCCCCCCTTCTTCGCTCTCGGTGCTCGCGCCTCGCCGTCCCCTTCCTCTCCCCTGCCGCTGGTCCGCCTCGTCGGCTTTTGCGCTTCCTTTCTTTTTGGCTCCTCTTTTTGCCCCGCTCCCTCCTCTCTCCCCGCCCTTTGCTCCTTCGCGCTTCCCTGTCTGCCCCCCTTTCCTTTGCGCGCCTTTTGCCCTCTTCCCCCTTCTTCCTGCGCTTGTGCGCTTCTTGTCTTTTCTTGTTCCTCTCCTTCGCCCCTCTTGCTGCGCGTTTCCCCTCTTTCTTTGGCCGTGGCCCCCTTTCGGCTCTTCGGCCCTCTTGTCTCCTCCCCGGCTTTGCCTCGCCTCTCCTTGGCCCTCTTGTCCCGCTTCTTCCGCGTTCTCTCGTCCGCTGTCCCTTCCGGTTTTGGCTTTTGTCCGTCCTGTGGCGCCTCCGGGCTCTCCCCCCGCCGTCTTGCCTTTTCCTCTTTCTCTCGGGCCCGTGGCCCTCCCTTCCCCCCTTTCCTCGTGTCCCGCCGCTCCGTGTCCCTGCCTCCGCCCTTTCCCCTCCTCCCCTTTCTCCCGTGCGCCTCCTCGCTTTTGCGCTCCCTCTTTCTTCCTCCTCCTCCCCGCGCGCTCTGCCCGCTTCCTCCCCTTCCCCCCCTTTGTCGCCTGGCTCTGCTCTCGCCGTCCCCCCGGTTCCCCCCGTTCGGCCCCGTGTTTTCGCTCCCCCGTTGGTCCCTCCTCCCTCGGCTCCCGCTCTGCTCCCCCTTGTTGGTCCCCCCGCGGTCCGGTGCCCGTCTCGCGGGGGGGGGGGGGGTGCCTCGCCTTTCCCCCTTTTTCGCCCCGCCCCCCCCTTGCTCCGCCCGCGCTCCCCCCCCCTCTTCCCTCGCTTGTTCGCGTCTGGTGCCCCGCGGCCTCCCTCCCCTCCCGTGTGTGTGCGCTTGTGTGCGCCGTCTCTCTCGTGTCGCGCGCCTCTGTCCCGCGCCGTCCGTCCCGCCCGCCGTCCCGCCCCCCGCCCCTTCTCGTGGTTCGCGCGGTGGTGTCCTCCTCCTCCTCCCCTTGCTCTTCTCTCCCGCGCCCTTCCCTCTCTCTCCCCCTCTTGGTTCCCCGCTCCCCTGCCTTTCCGTGCTCTCGTGCTTTGCTCCCCCGCCCGCCCTCCTCCCGCCCCGTGCCCCCCCCCTGCTGCTTCGGGTTTCCCGTCGCCGCGCTCCTCTCCCGGCTTTCCCGCCTCCGCGTTCCTTTCCCCCCGTCTTCCCCCCTCCGGTCGCCCCGTCTCCCGTGCTCTCGTGCTTTGCTCCCCCCGCCCCGCCCTCCTCCCGCCCCGTGCCTCCGCCCCTGCTGCTTCGGCTCTCCCCGCTCCGTGTGCCCCTCCCGGCTTTCCCCGCTCCGTGCTCCTTTCCTCCCTTCTCTTGTTTTGCTCCCCCCCCCGTGTTGTCTTGCTTCCCCCTTCTGCGCCTCTGTCGCTGCTCTTCCCTGCTGCGCCGGTCTCTTTGCTGCCGCTCCCCCCTCTGGCCGCTTTCTCTTGCTCGCTCTGCGTGTTTTCTCTCTTTGCCTCTCTCCCGTCCCGCCCTTGCTCTTTTTGCTCTGCTTTGCTCTGTTTCCGCCTCTCCGCCTCTTTCTCTTTGCCGCTCTCTGCGTTCTTTTTCTTTTCTCCCTTCTCCCTTGCCGCTTTTTGGTCTGCTCTGTCCCCCTGCGCTTTTTGCTCTCTGCTCTTTCCCGCTTCCTTGCTCTCTTCGCTCTCCTTGCTGCTTCGCCTTTTCTGCTCTCTTGTTCGTGCGTTCGTCTGCTCTTCCCGTCTTCCTCTCTTCCTCCTTTTCTCGCTGGTCCTGCGCCTCTGTCCGTTGGCCCGCGCCGCTCTCCTTTTTGCCCTCTTGTCTCTTTTTGTCCGCGCTCTTCTCTTCTCTTCTGGCCCCGCTGTCCGCCCGGCTCCGCTCGCCGTTTGCTGGCTCTTCCTCTCCCTGTCCCTGCGCTCCCCCCCTTCCTCTGCTCTTCCTCTGGTTTTCCGTTGCGTGGCCTCTCTGGGTCTCCGTTTTGGTGTCGCCTGCTTCTCTGCTCCGCTCTGCCGTGGTCTCTTGTCTCTTTGGGCTTTCCCCCTCTTCTTCCTTTCCTCCCCTCCTCGTTCGCCTCGTCTTTTTCCTTGTGCGCCTCTTTTCCCTGTCCGTTCCTCTTCCTCTTCTTCCTTCTCCCGTCTGGGTGTTCTCCGCCTTCCCCCTGGCTTTGCCTTCCCCCCCCTTTGCCTTTCTCCTTTGTCCTTGCCCCCCCTTTCCCTTGGCTTGTCCTTGGCCCCCCCTTGCCTTTTTCTCCCTTTGTACCTTGGCTTTAGGACTTGGCCCTTTGCTCCCCCCTGCTCCTGGGCTCCTTGCTTCCCCCTTTTGGCCTTGTGGCCTTTGCCTTTGGCCACTTGGCTCCCCGCCTTTCTCACATGTCTTATGCCTTTCCTCTCCATATCCCTTTGCTCTCCCGTCTGTCTTTGCCTCGGTCCCCCCCTTTGCCCTTGCCTCCCATCCATCGCCCCCTCCCTTCTTCTTTGCATGCGATCCCCCCCTTTGACCTTGCCTCCGCTCTCCCCCGTCCCTTGCCTCCCCCCTGATTTTTCATTCTGCCTCGGTCGCGCCCCCTTTGACATTGCACTCCCCTCCATCCCCCCTGCCCTGTGCCTATTCTTTGCCCGGTCCCCCTTTGCCCTTGGCCTGCCCCCCTGTTTTCTTTGCTCGGTCCCCCCTTTGCCCTTGGCCTCGCCCTCCTCCCCCCTCCCTTGGGACTCCCCCTTTCCCCTTCATCCTTGGCTTCCCCTCTTTGCCATTGCTTCCCCCTCCTTGGCTTTCCCTTCTCCCATTGGCTCCCCTCTTGCCTTGCTTCACCTCCCTGGCTTTCCACTTCTCACCTTGGCTTCGCCTCTTGCCTTGCTTCTCCCTTCTCCCGTTGGCTCTTGGCTTTCGACCTCGCTCCCCCTTCCCCTTTCTCATGCCACTCGGCTCGCGCACTTCCTTTGGCCTTGGCTCGCCCCGTGCCCTTGCCTCTCCCTTGCCACCCCCTTCCCCATTGTCCTTGGCGGGCCCCCCTCCCTCCGCTTACTTTCCTTGCCTTCTTCCCCTCCCTTGTCCCCTTCTTGCTGTGCGTTTTTGACCTTCCGCCCTTTTGGCTCCTCTCTCCGCCCTACCTCCCCCAATTCGTCGTCTCGCATTTTGCTTCCTACTGCACCCTCCCCTTTGCCTGTCCCTTCTTTCTTTCTCTCGCTGCTTGCTCTCCCCGTCCCTTTCCTGCCTATCTCCCCTCTTCCTTTTCTTCCCGCCCTCTTACTGGGCTCATCTTTCTTTTGACGTCCCTTGCCGTGCTTTCCTCTGCTATCCTCATTTTTCTTCCCTTTGCCCTTTTCCTCCCCGCCCCATTCCTTGCCTTTTCGGCTTTCTCTCTTCTTCCTTCCTCTTTTCTCCCATTTTCCTCATGTTTTTCTCATTCCTCCTTCCCTCCTTATCCGGCGATCCTGGTCTCCGCCTCTCCTCGCACCTCTGCCCTCCCCTTGGGGGCTCTTCACCCCTCCCCCTATTTGCATCTCCCCCCCCTTCCCATTCTTCCTCCCCTCTCTCTCTCTCTCTCTCTCTCTCTCTCTCTCTCTCTCTTCTCTCTCTTCCCCGTCTCTCCTCCTCCCCCTCCTTCTCTCTCTCTCTCCCCCTCCCTCCTTATTTCGATTCCTTTCCGTTCGTCCCTTTATGGTTCCCTCTCCCTCCCCCTTCCTTCTCTCTGTCGCTCCCCTGTTCTCCCTTCCATTTTCTCTTTCCCTGTCTCTCCCCTCTCCGGCCCCCACTCCTTCTTTTTGTCGTTCCCTTCCTCCTCCACTCCTTCTCCCCCCTCTTCTATTTTACTTCTCCCCCCATGTCTCGCCCTCGCTCTCTCCTGGCTCCCTCCCCCTGGCTGCGCTCCGCCCGCCGTCCTCACTTTTGGCCCTGTCCGCCTTTCTCCTTTTCACGGCCCGGCCGCCCCCGCCGGGTCTCCCCTCTCCCCCCGTTCACGCATGCTTCGTCCCCGCCCCCTCCCCCGCTTCCGCCGATCTGGTCCCCCCCTTCCGTTTCCCCCCTTCGGCTCCCCCCGCCTCCGGGTCCGTGTGTTACCCCGCTCCCCTCGGCTTTCCCCGCCCGTCCGTCGCTCACGTCCCTTCCCATCCCCTACCCCGTCCCCCCTCTCCCGGGTCTTCCTCCCCTCTGCCCTTCCGCCTCCTCCCCCCGCCCCTCAGCCCCAGGTGGGCCTCTCGTCCATTCCCTTTTCTCCCTTTCCCCCCTCCATCGCTTGCCCTCTGCCCTCCTCCATTATCCTGCCCCCCTCGCGGTGGCCCTCGCCCCCTCTCGTTTGCCTCTCCCCTCTTCCGCCCCTCTCCCCGCCGGCCCCCCTGTATTCCCCGCTTGGGCCGCTTTTCCCCTCTTTCATCCAGGCCCCCTCCTTCGCCGGCGCCTGCCTTGCATTCCCTCGCCCGTCCTTCCCTGCCCACATACCCCTCCTTCCCCCCCAGTACTCTCCTTGCCCGCCCATCCTCTCTCCCCACCATTTTCCTCCGTTTCCTCCTATTGGCTTCCCCCTGTCCCTTGGGCCCTGCTTCCCGTTCTCCCTGCTTTGCCTTCGGCTTGCCTTCCTCTTTCGTCCACTCCCTTTCGGGTTCCCCTTATTCTTTTTCCTTCCTTTTCCCCTTTCTCGGCTCCGCCCTTCCATCTTTCGGGACGTCCCCCCTGCCTCCCCCCCCTTCCCCCTCTTTCTCTTCCCTTCTCCCCGGCTCTTCTGTTTCCCCCCTCCTCGGCCCTCCCTAGTTCCCTTTTCCCGGGCCCTTCCTGGGTCCGCCCCCCACCATTATTCTCCCAATCCTTTCGCCCTCCTCTTGCCTCCTGCTCCCTTCTCCCTCCCCCCTTCTTATCCCCCCCGTTCCCTCTCCCCATTTCCACCTCCTTCTCTTTTGCCCTCTTCCTTGGCGTCCCCCTTCCCCCCTCTCCGTCCCCCCTCTCCCCGGCTCTCCCTCTCTTCCTGCCGCTCTTCCTTCCGCTTCTTTCGGCGCTTTCTCCCCTCCCCCTCTTATCCTCCTTCCCCTGCGTCATTCCCCCTCCCACTCCTCCCTCACATCCTCCCCCTTTTCCCCTTCCGCCTTTCCCTATTCCCCCTCCCTCCCTCCGTTCCCGTCTTCCCCTCCCCTCCTCGATTCTCCCTTGACCCCGTCCCCCCCTCTTCCCCCGCCTCTCCTTCCTTGCTTTTCCCATTTTCCTTCCTTCGTTCCCCTCCCTGCGCTCTCTTTAATCCCTTCCCTCCCTTCGGCTCTTCTCTCCCACTTCCCCTCCCTTCCCCCTCCTTTCCTCCCCCTCTCGTTCCTGCCCCGGCGACGCCCTCCCACGCTCCCTTCTCCACCTTCTTTTCATCCACCCCCCCCTTCTCCACCCCCTCCCTCCTCCGTCCTCTCTTTTTCATCCCCCCTGTCCCCTCTTCTCCTTTTCCCCTGCCTCCATGCTCCCTCCGCACTCCGGCCGGCTCCCCACCCCTCTTTCAGTATCCCCATCTCGCCTCTCCTCTCCTCTCCTCTGGCCTCTCTCCTCCTCCTCCTCCTCCCCCACTCCTCCTCTCTTCACTCTCTCCCACATTTCCCTCTCTTCCTCCTCCATTCCTAGGCAATCCCCTTCCTTTCGTCCCCCTCCTTCCCTGCCATCTCACTTCCTCTTCGTTGCCCCCCCTCCCCCCTAACCCCCTATCGGCCTCATTCGCTCACCACCCTCCCCCTGTTTTTCTCCTACCTGCCCTCCGCCCTCCGTGCGTTACCTACCACTTCACTCCGGCCCCCACCTTTCCTCCTCTCTCGGCCCCCGCGCTCCTATCTTCCACCCCCTTTCCCCTTCCTTCTCGCTTTCCTACCCTCCAGCCATCCTTCCCCTGAACTTCTCTTACTCCCCCCTCTACCGCCCCCTTCTCTCCCTCTCTCCTTCCCTCTTCCCTTTTCCCTCCCCCTCTTCTTCTTTTCCTGCCCTATCTACCCCCCTGGCCCGTCTTATCGCCCTCCCCGGCCCCCTCTGGCCCGGGCCTTTTTCCCACCGCCCCCCCTTCTCCCCGCCTTTCACCCCCTCTCCTTCTTCGTCCCTTCTCTTTTCCCCTCTTCTCCCCATTCCTTCACCTCGGGTTTCCCCGTTCCATACCCCTCGGGCTCCCACCGGTTCGCCTGGCTCTTGCTTAACCCTTGGTCCCCCATCCCCTTGCCTTCCCCACTTTCGTTCCCTGCCCTTCCCCTTCCCCCTTCGTCCCATCGCCTTCCATCACCCTCCTTTCTCTCCCTTGTCTTTTCCCTTCCCGTCCTCCCCTACTTTGTAATTCCCCTTCTCCCCCTTCTCGGGTGGCTCCTGCCCCCATCTCCCTTCTCCGCCTAGCTGCCCGGCTCCTCCCCCCCGCCCACTCCTATCCCTTCCCTCTCTTCCATTTATTCTCATTCTTCTTCTCCCGCGGCACTTTCCCTTCCCCGCTCACTCCCTCCCTGTTTTCCCTTTTTTTCCCCGCCACCCCTCCCCCCGTGGCCGCTTCGGCCACCCTGCTCCGTCACGGTTCCTTTGCCCGGCACCCGCACCTTTCCCCTACCCTCCGGTCCCTTCCTTTCCCACTACCCTTTTCTTTTCCCCTCCCTTCCCCCCTCTTCTCCCCTTCTATTTCCCGGCCCCGTCCCCCCTCTCTCCCTGCCACCTCTACCCTCTTTCATTCTTTTTGCCCCATCCCCCTCATCCTTTTGGCCGCCCCTCCCCCCCCTCCTCACTTCGCCCCCGGCTTACCTTCCCCCTGCTCTGTGCTTTTTACCCTCTTTCTTTCTACATCTTACCCGTCCCCCTTTTCTGGCCCTCCCCATCCCCTCCACTGGCCCGCCCTCCCCTCTCCAGGTCCTCCCTGGCCCCCCTCCCCTCGCCCCCTACCTGGGCCTCACCGTCGCTCCCGCGCCCCTCTCCACTGAGTCTCCATCTCCTCTCCCCTACTCCCTCGGCCTCCCGTCCGCCTCGGCCCCTCTCCCTGGGCTCCATCCCCTTGCTCCCTCCCTGGGTCTACACCCTCCACCTCGCCCCTCTACACTGGCCTCCCGTGCGCACTCGCTCACACTATCCCTGAGGTCCTCCCACTCCCCTCTGCCCCTCTCCATGGGCCTCCCCTCCCACTCGCCCCTCTCCCCTGCGTTCTCCCCTCTGCCTCCCCACTCTCCATGGGTGTACCACTGCCCTCGCCTCCTCTCCTGGGCGCCTCCTCCGCCTCGCCCCATCTAACTAGGGCACTCCCGATCTCCTCCGCCCCTCTCACCTGGGCCTCACCGATCCGCCTCCCCTCTCCATGGCCTGCCGTCCCCTCGCCCCTCTCCCTGGCACTGCCGTCGCCCATCCCTCCTCTCCCTGGGCCTGCCGTCCCCTCGCCCACTCTCCCTGGCTCTCCCGTCGCCCTCGCCCTTCTCCACTGGGTTCTGCCGTCCCTCTCGCCCCTCGCCTGGGCCTCCCTGCCCCTCGCGCCCTGTCCCTGGGCACTCACCTCCCTTCCCCCTCCTGGGTCTCCCTCCTCGCCCATCTCCATGGGTCTACCTCCGCCTCTGCGCCCATACTCACCTGGGCGTCACTCCCCTACGCCCACCCTCCCTGCGTCTCCCCTCCCTCGGCCCTATCCCTGGGTCTCACCCTTCGCCTCGCCCCTTCTCCCTGAGGGGTCTCCCCTCCCCTCGCGGGCCTCTCCCTGGGTCTCACAGGGTTCGCCTCCCCCTCTCCCTTGGGGCCTTCCCCTCCCCTCGCCCCTCTACCTTGGGTTGTACCATCCCCTTTCGCCCTCTAGTCCTTTCTCCCCCCCCCCCCTCCCCACCCACTCTTATTTCATCCTCTCCCCCACCCCCCCGCTTGCTCCTCCTCTCCGACCTCCCCTCCGCGCTCCACCCTTTATATTTAACTTTCCCCTTTTCTTACCCAACTTTTGTTTTCCACCTCCGCCACCCTCTACCTCTCTATCTCTCTCTCCTCATATCTCTATCTCTACTCCTACTCTCGTTTCTTACTTCTATTATTCTTATTTGATTTTTCTTGTTTTTTTTCCTCTACCTCCACCCCTACCTCCCCTCTATATCCCTCTTTTTCGCCCCCCACGCGTCGTTCATCCCGCCCTCCTAATCTCTTTCTTTTTCGTTCTACCCGTGCCTCCCCCTGTATTATTCTTTCTTTCTATCTTTCCCTCCACTCTCACCCACACCCTCCTACCCCTCTGCCCTCGTCACTTACTCCTTTCCTCATCTCTCTCCTTTCCTCTACACTGCCCCTACCCCCCCCAACACTTTCTTTCTTTTGCCCACCGCTCCGGTCCCGTACACCCCGCCCCCCCCCCCTTCCTGACAGCGCATATTCTCTTACCCATTTTCCTCGTCATCATTTTCACGCTTCCCCGGGTCTCTTTCGCTTCAGGGACTTTCCGCGTCTTGCCATACCGCTCCCGCCCCGCCACTCTTTATTTTTTTTTTTTCTCTCTTGGGGGCTGCCGGGGTGCTCAGCCCCGACCGGACGCGCGCCGCATCACTTATCTTGTTCCTCCTCCCTCCTTAGTCCTCCTCCTTCCTCGACGCCATTTCTCGGGTTTGTTACACTTCCACCTGCCCCCTTTGTTCCCCGCCCACATCTCTCCTTCCTCTCCCCCTCCCTCTCCACTCTTTCGTATCTCTTCATCTCACCTCCTTCTACCCCCTGTCTTCTCTCACTCCTCGCTACTCTCCCTCTTCCACTCACTCCCTCTCGTCTAATCTATCTCCCTTACACCCGTCTCTCCTCATATACCCATCCTTCCCTATATATCTCTCCCCCTACCTCCTTCGTTCATTTCCATTCGATCACTTTCTGTCCCATCTCCTCTCCGGCCCCTCCATTCTCTCTGTCCTCCTGTTTACATCACCCTCACCTTTTCTCTTCCCATGTCTCTCCCATCCGTCCGGTCCCCCCCTCATTCTTTTGTCGTTCCCCTTCACTCCCTAACTCCTTCTCCCCCCCTCTTCTTTTTCTTTCTCAACCGCCCACTCTCACTCGCGCTGCGACTTCTCTCATGGCTCTCCCCCTGCTCGCTCCGACCTCGCCGTCCTAATTCTCTCTCTCCCACCACCCACGGCAGGCGGCGGCCACGAGAGCGATACTTCTTCCTTCTAATTCTGCTCGCGCCCTTTTGCTGGCCCTTCGACGCATCTCCTCTCTACTTATTCTTTGTTCGTTACTCACCTCACCCTACATATTTTTGTTCTCCAGTAGTTCTGTCATTACATTTGCACCTCCCCCTAATTATATATTTTGAGCCCGGTCTGCTATTTCTCTCCCTTTGCCTCTACCCCTGTCTTTTACTCACCATTTTTCGTCCCTATAATACTTATTGCGGTATAGTAATATGTCCACTTAAATTTCCTAATAACTTAACTAGTTCTGTAGGTCTGTTCTAATCTACTATCATTCTTGGTTACCATTAGTATACTTTGGGTCATATCTATCTATATCTATATCTTTAACTGAGTGTACTT